TTAATGGCCTGCCATGTGGTTTGGTAACATTGAGACTGTGCCATTTTATTTGATGACCTTGGGCTTGTTAGCTTCAGCAGCCAGTAGCTGTCTGAGTGAAGAGATGCCTCTAGCTTCAGTGTGCCGGGAGCAAGAGGCAGAGCTGAAGCCCAAGGTTGAGGGGCTTTCACCCAGCCCTAGAGCCTGGCACTTGGAACGTAGACTTATAGCCTCCCAAACTGAAAGAGAATAAAACTCCTGTTTGTTAAGCCGATCCCACTTGTGCTATATTCTTGTCAAGTGGCACTAGGTAACTAGAACATCTTCCTTGTCTCTTATGCTGGTTTTTACTTTAAAATCTATTTTATCAGAAATAAATATTGTCACTCCTGTTGTTTTGTGGTTGCTGTTTGCTCATTATTTTCCAACCTTTGATTTTTAGCTTATTTTTGTCTTTGTGTCTATGATGTGGGAGCTCCGGTGGCATAGTGCCTAAGGCATCTGGCTGTTAACCAGAAGGCTGGCAGTTCAAACCCACCAGCCACTGCTAAGAAGGAAGACTGGGCAATCTACTTCCATAGAGATACCACCTTGGAAACCCAAGGAAGGGTCACTATGATGTATTTTTTGGTTTCTTATTCATTCTGCCACTCTGTTTCCTGGATTGGTGCATTTAATCCATTTATGTTCACTCTAATTATCAACAGGTATGGATTTTTCTGTCATTTGTGTGTGTGTGTGTGATGCTGATGATTTCTTTGTCCCATATATTTTTCTGTGCTGTGTTGATTTTGTTTATAGATTTTCATTTCCTTTGTTGCTGTTCAATTTGTGTTTACTGAGTCTTTATGATTTTTTTCTTTTTTTTACTTTGGTGAGAAGATTTATTAATTTTCTTTGTGGTTAACTTATCATTTATTTTTCTCTAAGTTTAAAACAGTCTTTTCTATGTTGATATCATCTTGACTTTCTCTTCATTTAGAAGTTCTGTAACCACACCATTATTCCTTCCTTATGCTTTATGGTTGTTGTCACTTACAGATTGACATCTCTGGTTCTCTATTTTCAGTCTTGTAGGTTATTTTTGAAAATTCTTTATCTGGATTGATTTCTGAGTGATGCTGTCATATGTCTTAATTTCAGGTTGTTGTCTAACACTGAAGGATTCCCTATAGCATTTCCTGTAAAGTTAAACTTGTTTATCTGGAAATGTCCTAATTTCACCATCATATTTAAGTGACTCTTTTTTGGGTTTGCAGGCCTTCTTGAATGGGTATCTTCTTGTCTTTCATGATATTAGGAATGTGGTCTGCCAACAAATCTTTGACAATTTTCTCCCTTTCTTTTTGTCTCTGTTCTGTAATTCCAATCATGTATAACTTACTCCTTTTGATGGTGCCCCACATATTGTTCACACTTTATTCATTTTTCTTCATTCTTTTTTCTGACTGTTCTTCTATCAGACTCGTTGGCATCAAGGGATTTGTCTACTACTTTGCTGATTCTTTTCCCCATTGATTCATTTCTATTCCTCTGTCCATCCAGTGTATTATTTCTGAAATGTTAATGTTAATCCTCTGGATTTCTACTGGTTGTTTTTGTATGCTTCTGTCCATTTACTTTGGTGATTTGTTTTTGTATTGTTTTCCTGAATTCTTCTAGTTTTGTCTGTGTTTTCTGATTTTGTCTATGATTTCCTTGCTTTTGTCTGTGCTTTCCTTATTATCTCCATTAATCTGTTGAAACGTCCTAAATATAATTCTTGTGAATTCTTTTTCAGGCAGTTCTAGCACCATTTCTTTCTCAGGAAGGTTTTCTGGCCCTGTATTTTGGTCACTTGCTTGAGCCATCTTGTCCTGTTTCTTTGTGTGGTTTGATGTTGTCTCCAAGACAATGTGGTAATATTGCATTTGCTGGTTTTGCCCTGATTGTTTTTGTTTTGTTTTGAGGTATCTGGGTGGCTGAGGTGGGCATGTTGCTCAGGTTGCTAATTTGGTAGCACTGGGATGCTTACTACCTGTCTCCAGGTGGATCCAGTAGTTGGTGGGATTTGGGTGTGGGTTCAGTGGTCGTGTAGTGCAGCTGAGGATGGGCTGAGCTGCTGTTGGCTACTATCTGTCATTGCAGTGGTGTAGGAGTAGGTAGTGGTACTCACTGGCAATGGCAGCAGGTGTGTTGACTATGGCTGGCTAGTGGGGACAGAGTTGCTGCTATACTGGCTGGGGCAAAAAAGAAAGAAAGAAAAAACAGTGGCATGGCAGCAGGTGCAGTTAGGCAATGCCAACTGTGGAGGCAACAGATGCACTGTACACAATCTGTAGGAGTGTACCCTACCAACTATGGAGGCAGTGAGTGCATGGTGCATGATCCACACAAGCATGCCATGGCCACTGGGGAAGCAGAGTGGCAGGAGGCTACTGGAGAAAAGAGGTGGCCCAGGAAGACTGCTGGGCAGGGGAAAGGCAGTGGAGGAGATGTTACTGGCCACTGGGTGGGTAAGGACACACCTCTGGTCACTAGAAGGGGGTGGGCAGGGGAGAGAGTACACTCCTCTGTCATTGGTCACTGGCATGGGCACCAGTGTACTCCTGGACAAGTACAGCTGGTTATATGGTTCCTGCCCTGACTGAATGCAAGAGGGGCTATTTGTAGTTCAGCATCTCTGGCTACCACCTCACAGGCCTTCCCCTCCACATAAGTACCTAATCCAAAGGACCAGGAACAGTGCTGGTGAGTGGTTCTATCCCTATTTACTGGCTCCCTCCCTCTTCTGTGGTCACCTGAGTCTTTGGAGTTCTTGCTGCTTCTCTCTTCACTTTCCATCCTTATATCTAACTCATGTTCTGCTCACCTTGCTTCCCTGTGATTTCTCTACATGTGTCTCTGTCTCATTGGGTAGCCTGTGAAGTCTTCCTGTGTTTCTCACCTCGAAATGCAGCCTGTAATGTCTCAAAATAGCCATGCTGTGCCAGGTCAGGTGGCAGGGCACCTCTGCTCTTGTTGTTCACTGCTTTCATTCAGTTTCCTCTTTTGATTGGTATTTTTTCTAATTCTTTATCCTTCATTTGATACTCAGGATTCCAGGATTATCAACTTTATCTATTTTACTATTTTGGGTCTTCGTTGTAGAGGGATAGTGTGGAGTGCCTAACTAGGTTGCCATCTTAGCTCCTCCTCTATTTTTCTTGAGCACCACAGTTACTACCTGTCATAAAATACATACATAGTTACTTATTATTGGTGTTTTCTATTGGAGTGTACACCAATAGGACTGGGAATTTGGCTTGTTCACTTTTATAGCCTATAGCTTTAGCATTAAAGATAGTGCCTGGCACACAGTAGGTACTGATTAATAATAATTGTTGAATGAATAATAAATGACTCCATGCAACTGTGATGTCTGCATTATGTCCTGTATTTTTCTGTTATTTTTCTAAGGCTGTTAATAGGCCTGCTTCTAACATTGTATTCCATTTCTAATCTGCTGCTGGTTGTAAACCATATTAAGAAAGCTTATTAGATTTTTTTCCAAAGCAAGTATAAATAGGTTCAGCATAAAGTCTTGCAGCACCTTCCTCTTATTCACATGTATAAATTGCAAGAGGCAATAGAGGATAGTAGGGGCTAAGAGCATGGACACAGGAGCATGGCTCTGAATCCCAGCTTTGGTACTCATTACCCATATGACCTTTGGGCAAGCCGCTTAACCATTGTGTACCTCAGTATCTAAACGGAACTTCTCCAGATGGGACTTCAAACTGGGTTTAGAACCAGTCAGAACCTGATAAGTCAATTAGCAATTATGGAATCAGAAACTTGTACTATGTTCTGAAGACCTGACTATTGTTAAACTGTTTATATTTTTTACATCCATTTTTTTCTTAGTTTTTATAAGGATACCTTTGATAATTTCTAACTCCTGAAACAAGTTTTTTACCCAAGATTGGGAAAGAATTGGGAAAGGGATGCAGGGCAACCTAGTTTCATTCTTTTAGGAGGACAAAATTGTGGGAACTATGGGGGTTCAGAGAAGGGGGACCTCGGATATAATGACTCATTCCCACAAAGATGGAGTCCCTGGGTGGTGCGAACAATTAATGCACTCAGCTGCTAACTGAAAGGTTGGAGCCTTGAGTCCTCCAGAGTATGTAAGAAGGAAGGCCTGGTGATCTCCTTCTGAAAACTCAAGCCATTGAAATGCTTATGGAGCCAAGTTCTACTTTAACATACATACATGAAGTAGCCATGAGGTGGAATCAATTCAATGGCAATTGGTTTTTTCACACAGATACACTCTATCGTGTGCTCTTCTCTGCTCACTCCTTAGAGGGCTATGCCTGAGCTTTGCTAATGAGGTTCTTGTAATCTCCAACTCTCTTCACTTTCTCAATAGTTATATGGTAGTTTAATTAATTTTAAATTCTTGATGTTCTCATTACATCTGTATCATGACCTCTGGTAGGTCCTCATGACCCTCCAGTTCTAAGTTGGGAATATTCTTTTTGACGCTTACCTGCCAACCTGACCCAAACCATCTTCTATCAACTTATACTATATCCAGTCCCTTCTGTTCTTTGTTCTGGGAAAGTTAGCTGTCTGCATCTGGTCTTTGTATACCTAAGTCACTATCCAAGGTGGCCCTATGCCTAGAATAACCTTTATTTTTCTGCCTAACAAGTCATGTTTCTTTAAGTCAAATTTCCAAACTGAATTCCTCCCAGAAAATTTACCTTATTAGTCCTTCTAGTTTTTCTATTAATAGCTCCAATTCATTCTTGCCTTGAGGCATTAAAGTTATGACATGTATGTTTAATTATTTTATTGGTGATATACCTTTCCCTTCCTGCATCTCCCATGAACTTCTTTAAGGCCACAGCCCTCCTTATTATATCCCCTAAGCTCCTTGTATAAGGGCATCCACTTTCTGGGCACTCAAAGAATTATTGTTGATGGATCAACTAGTGGGGAAAAACCAAGGAAAGATGATGCTATTATAATGAATGGAAAATGAAATGACTTACTATCATCCACAGGACAAAAGGTAATGTTTACCCAGTCTGAATGCTCATCTGCAAATTCAGTCCTGACTCGCAAGGTATGGTAACCATACTTGGAAAGATGGGAGAAATCGCATTCTGTCAAGGCAGTACTCTTGCATGTATCTTGGAAGCTGTTGTAACTACAAAAGCAGAAAAATAAAGTCATGGTAATTCTAACTCTGGTCTCTGAGGATGACTGGTCCTTTATACCCACTGCTACCAAAGACTGATAGAGAATAATGAGAGAAAAATGATGCCAATTCTGAATCATCAATTTTATATGTATATACAAATCAGTCTTAGAGGAAGTACAGCCAGTATGCTCTTTAAAAGCAAGGATAGTGAGACTGTGATTTGCTTAATTTACACACATAATCAGAAAAGACCAATTGCTACATTATGTTTGGTAGAGCAGAGGAACAATGAAAGAGAGGGTGCAGTGTAGTAAATTACCTGGTATGGCTTTTCTAGCCATAAGTCTTTGTAAACTCCATGGTGGAATTTGCTGTGAGCAACTGAGGAACTCCTGATTCTAAAAGTTATCCACCTGGGGTATTTCTGTTGAGAGTGGCACAAAGCAATGTTCTGGGAAGTTCACTCTCTCTCAGGTGGTTAGAATTCTGATGTTATGATTGGTTAGTTTGGCCACTCTGCCAGGCTCAAAAGGAGGCCTCCCAAAGGCAGAAGAGGTCTCTCTGACTGCTGGCTGAGAAAGATGTGCTGCTGAGAGAAATGCACTCCTGAGAAACACACACTGCTGAGAAAGAGACACCAAGAGACACACGCTGCTATGAAAGAGACACCAAGAGACACGCACTGCTAAGAAAGAGACACCGAGACACAGGTTGCTGAGAGAGACACTGAGAGACATGCACTGCTGGGAGAGTGGCTCTTGGCTGAGAGATGGCAGGCTGAGAAAGATTGAGCATTTTTCCTGAACTTGAATTATAGCCTGGTGCTTCCTTAATAAACCCCATAATCTGTGAGTTCTGTATGGCCACTGCAGTGAATTATCGAACCCAGCAGAAAGGTGGCGAGTGCTGCAGGAGGAACAGTTGGTGTCAGGGTTGGTGAAGAGGCAGGAAGGAGGCAGCATGTCTGGCCTCGCAGGAATAGGCCTCGGGCTACTCATGGTAATTCTGTCTTCCTCTTGTGCAGTTAGAGGAGGTCAGAAGATGTGGCTTCCCTGCCCCTTCAGCAGAGGCAAAACCTCCGTAAGATGGATTGACATGATGGCTACATCAATGGGATCAAACATACCAACAATTATGACTATGGTGCAGGACTGGGCAGTGTTTTATTCTGTAATACGCAGGGTTTCCATAACTCAGAACCAACTCAATGGCAATTAACAACAATGGATATATTTATATTTTTCAAACTGTACCCCATGGAACCCTAATGACCCTTGAGATACTGTAAAGCATTTCCTTGTCAATACACTGCTGCAACCATATATGAATTACCATCAGCAAAATTTTACTTGCGCATGATATTAGTGATACTCTTCGATAATTTCCACATTCTGTTGGATCACCTTTCTTTGGAATAGGTACAAATATATCTCTTCCAGTCAGTTGGCCAGGTAGCTGTCTTCCAAATTTCTTGGCATAAAGTAAGTGCTTCTAGAACTTACATACCATAGGCAAAAATAAGTTGTAGAACAACCCTTCCTTCTTAAACTCTCTAATATTCTTGCCAAGTAGTGTAGGAGCTTAACACACCATGATGCACTTACTCAATGGACTACCATGCAGCTGTAAACAAAAATAGAAGGAACAAGAATGTTCTCTTTAAACTGATAAGGACTGATTTCCTGGATATACTGATAAGTGGAAAAAATGCAAGATACAAAAGAATGTATTTATTATGCTACCTTTTGGGTAAGAAAGGCAAATAAGAAAGCATACATATATCTGCTTAGCTTTGAAAACATGCACACATGCACATACACACACACACACACACACCACAGAGAGGATACACCAAAAACTATTGACAATGGTTATGTACAAGGCGTTGGGCAATGGGAAAACGGGGTAGAAGGAGTAGAGGAGGAAGTGATATTGTCCTGGGTATACCTTTGTGTATAATTTTGACTTTGGAATTGCATTAATGTCCTACATAGTAAAAAAAAATAATTAACTAACTAATTAATGAGGGTGGGAGAAAACCCCTAAAACTGAATACAAATAGAAACAAAAGAACTGGCTATTTCAAATGAATAGAGTAAGTTCAATGAAAGGAAAAAAAAAAAAAGAACTTATCTAAAATATGATAGTATATGGACTCTAAACACCCAATGCAAAGAAAAAAAAATGTAAACAATTTATGAACCTTCCCAGTAGGTTTGTTTTTCATAGACATACAAGAACAGGAATTCTAAAATTCTGGGTATAGTAATTCTGAAACTGTTTTTGTTGAGCAAGCAAGTAAGTGTATAGATGTCTGTTCTCACTGTGAGATATATAATATGGACTGAGGTAAGGTAAAGAAGAACTCCTTGGGCCTAGAAGTTGTGACCCCCTTACTAGCTATAAGCTTATTATAGCTTATTACACCTGCCTTCCAGAGAAAATAAAGCCAATGTGGCACATGTTAAAAACTGGTAAATCCTATTTGGAAGTCCTTGGACCATACTTGAAAATTTGAAATTTTCAGGTAGCTTGGAATGATTTCAAACTAAAACATTAAAAAGGAAAGAAAACAAAAAGCCACAGGGACAAAACTATCTTATTTACCTTTCTATTTCTGTTCTGAGGTCCCTAGGTAGCACAGATGGTTTGCACTCAACTACTAACCTAAAGGGTGGCAGTTCAGACCTATCTATTGGTGCCGTGGAACAAAGGCCTGCCCATATATGTTTGCAGAATAAAAACTGAATGACGAGTATGGGGTTCATAGGATCTTGGTCCTCAGTTTTCTCCTACCTACCTTACGGAGCTGTTCATCTCTGCATGTTTCCGAGTCAAACAGGGAATAGGTGTATTGGATCCTTGGCCTGTGGCCTCCTCTGTTGTCTGTATCTGCCATAAAGGTGTACCCTCTGCAGTCTAGCCTATGCTTATAGTGGCAGGCTGCCAAAGGAGGGCTGACATTGACTTTTGTCATAAAGCGCAGGGAAACAGTGGGAGGCAGGACAGGTACAGGAAGGCAGACCACCACTGAGATCACTCTGTCTTCTGACACTCACCCTTCCTTTATAAGCCTCCACTGTTTTCAGAGAACTAGTCATGTAACAGCCAATCACTGTCTTACTTTCAATCTCAGGAGATGGCCTTGGGGACTTATGGAAAATCTAATATGTGTTGCTGTCTCCAGGCCCCTGTAGAAGGGCAAACGACCAAAACAAAAAATTACACGTAGCTATGTAGATGGATTTTGTGTGTTTCCAGAGGTATGAATCCTAGACTTTCTAATACATTTGATGTGGAAAAACAGAGGTTAAAATCCAGAGTAACTGAGCATCCACTGACAAATGATCCCATCTCCTCTATACTGGAGCACTGTGTTATAATTTACTAGAGGTTGCTGGGTGATAAGATGGCTAAGGTCTTCCTGAACATTTTTCATACCTCGGTTTTCCTGGAGAATTTTTAGCTGTAAACTGTTGACTTGTAGCAACACATCTCTAGTAACTGGAGATGCTACCAGTGGCACTGTTCTCTTAAAAACCATGCTGTTAGTTTTAGGTGTCGTCAAGTCAATTCTGATTCAGAGTGTCCCATGTGACAGAGAAGTACTGCCCCTTAGGGGTTTCTGGCTGTAATCTTTACAGGAGCAGATTGCCAGGGCATTTTCCCACAGAGCCTCTGGGTGGTTTTGAACCATGAACCTTTCAGTTAGCAGTTAAGCACTTAACCACTGAGCCATCAGGGGTCCTTACATTGTGACAAATGAGCTATGTTCTGTGTAGCACCAGGCTACCAATGTGGCCAATTACATTTACGTCTCTATGATACGATGTTTATATCTACCAGTAGCCCTGAGATAAATACAGAAGCATATCTAAGATATGGCAGGTGTGGCACATCCCCTGGGTGCCACCTGAAGGGGGTACCACCAAGCAGTTTCTATTAACCACTGTACTTTCCATTGCCAGCTGTGAGAGAACATTCAGCAAGTTTAAACTAGTATTTCTGAATATGAGAGCCTCCATGGGTCATGGCAGATTGTGTTTATTTTGCTCTGTTTTAGTGGGGCTGTGGTTAAGGCATCAGGGTACTAACCAAAGGGTCAGTGGTTCGAACCTACCAGCTCTACGGAAGAAAGATGAGGCAGTCTACTTCTGTAAAGATTTACAGCCTTGGAAACCCTATGGGGGTCGCTATGAGTTGGAATTGACTCAATGGCAGTGGGAGTACAGAAAGAGAAGAAACTGAAAAAAAAAATGACTACGCACATCATAGACCAATTTTCTTCAGTCACAGCAAGGAAGGTGCAGTTGCAATTTTCATATAGTATCATAATATGTTAAGTAAAAGATTAAAAACTTGACTTGTATTTTTCAGCTGGTATTATGGTAAAGTTATCTAAAAGATGGGTGTCAGATGTTTGGACAGGGGTACAGTTTCAATGTTTGCCATAGATGCTATCTTCCATAGATACAGCTCTGGATAAATAGCCAAACCATGAACCACCACCACAAGCAAAAATGAAAACGAAAAGCTGACCACAAGAATTTCCCATGCAGAAGGAAAAAGGTCAAGAAGGCAGCTCTCTGTGTTATTATGATCTCGTGTCAACAGCAGTCAGAACCCTCCTGTAGCCCAGCCCAGTAACAAGGCCACCATCCTCCTATGCCTCTCACCTTAAGCACTGCCACACCCACCTTTGGAATTGAGCTGTGTAAGTCAGGTTTCCTTTGGGAAAAGCAGGAGACTCCCACTGTAGGATGTTCCTGAGATTAACTGAATTCATTCTGACATTTTCTGGAGGAGGCACCATTCCTAATGCTGTAAAATTACAGAAAAACATTTGCTTCAAAAAGTTGCCCAAGAAAATGACCACACACAAACCTGGGTCTGCCCTATTGTTCCATGTCTTAAAATGCCATGGGAGTTAGAGAGAGAGAGAGAAAGACAGACAGACACAAAGTAATATTGGAGAGGTAAACAGGGCCAGACCATGCTGGGCCTTGTTAGGTGCTAAACAGTTTGGATTTTACTTGAAGAACCATGAGAAGAAATTGCTGGGGTGCAAGAGTGAAGTGGCAACAAATAGGGTGACTTGGATTTGGGTGGTGATAGAAAGGTATAAGGAGGTAGTGTGCGGTAGATGGATTTTGTGTTTATTTCCAGAGGTATGAATTCTAGACTTTCTAATACATTTGATGTGGATAAAACAGGTTAAAATCCACTTCTGGCTGAAGCACCTGGTCCCATACTAGCCATGTGGCCTCCGATGCTGGAGAAAGATTCAAACAGGGATGGCAGAGAGACAGCGTGATGAATATACCTGAAATTATTTTTAAATAATTAGAAATTATTTTTAAACCTCCTCAATTATAAAGACTTTCAAATATACACAAAAGTAGAGAGAAGAGTATAATAAATCAGTACATACTCATTACCCAATCACTGCCAAGAGAGATATAAACTGGAGTCATGGATCTATAGCTGGTTTTAATACTCGGGTTGTGCTGAAATCTTCCCAGGAAATATTTTAGGGGAAGGAGAGAAGAGAGCTTGGGAATGAACTTAACTACACAGGTGTTGGCCTGTACCAGACCCTGTAAACTCAATGAGGGTTTGATGATAGCTAAGGGGGGAACATTTTGGGCCTTTCGGAAAAACAACTTTAATTGTTGGGCTTGTGGGCTCAGGGCTGTGGTCTCAGGGGGCATCAAACTCAATTGGCATAACATACTACACAAAGTCATTGTTCTACATCCTACTTTGGTGAGTAGCACCTGGGGTCTTAAAAGCTTGCAAGTGGCCATCTGAGATGCAGTAATTGGTCTCTCCTCACCCGAAGCAAAAAAGAATGAAGAAAACCAAAGCATGGAAACGATTAGTACAAGGCACTAGTGGACTACGTGACCCTCAGCCTACATGACCCTGAAACCAGAAGAACTAGATGGTGGCTGGCTACCACTGTCAACTGCTTGGAAGGGATCAGTGTAGGAGATCCTGGATAGAGTGGGAGAAAAATGTGGAATAAAATTCAAAATCATACAAAAGGCCAGCCTTACTTGTTTGATAGAGACTGGTGAAACCACCAAGACTATGGCTTGAAATTGAACTTACTCCCGTAGCTTCCAGCCAAACAACGTTGTTGTGTTGTTAGATGCCATCAAGTCAGCTCTGACTAATATTGACCCTATGTACAACAGAATGAAACAGTGCCCAGTCCTGTGCCAGCTTCACAATCCTTGCTATACCTGAGCCACTCTTGCAGCCACTGTGTCAATCCATCTCACTGAGGGCCTTACACTTTTTCACTAACCCTCCACTTTACCAAGCATGATATCCTTTTCCAGGCACTGGTTCCTTAGCCAGGCATATTTACATCAAGTAGGTATGGCATATAGCAACAACAACATGCACACTCCTTAGAACAATCAATCATAGGAGATCAGAAGGGCAATATTTCCACAGGGAGATAGTTCAGAGAGCAGGAATGCAGAAGGAAAAAGGACACAGGGAAGGGAAAGGGTAAGCACAGGGTGGAAGTGGGAAGAGAGCTGTTACATTATGGCGATTATACTTAATGTCATGAAACAAAATGTGCATGAACTGGTGTATGGACAATGAATTTGCTCTGCAAACTTTCACCCAAATCACAATAAAATAAATAGATGAAACAAAAAAACAACTTTAGTTAGTGACGGCCCACCAAGGGTGCTTCAGGAGGAGAGAGAATAAAAAAACATTGGTATCCTACTCCTAAGGACATCACAGTCCAGACGGTCTGTAATCCGCTGTGAGCTGAGGCTTCCTCCTCAGTTACAGGAAAGATACCAGCGGCAGAAGCAGAGCCACTTAGCAGCCTCCCCGCACTTAGTCATTTTCAATGCTCCTATGGGAACCTATGGTAGCATAGTGCCTAAGGCACTTGACTGCTAACCAGAAGGCTGGCGGTTCAAACCCCCTCGCAAGGCAGGTTGGGCAATCCTACTTCCGTAGTGATACTGCCTCGGAAACCCAAGGAGGGGTCGCTATGAGTCGGGGCCGACTCGATGGCAAATAACAACAACAACATGGGAACCTACAGGAGATCGGCTGGCTCAGTCACTGGTTAAGGCATTCTGCTGCTAACCAAAAGGTCTCCGGTTGGAACGCTTCCGTAAAGATTTACAGCCACAGTAAGCCTATGAGGCGGTTCTACTCTGTCCTACAGACTCGCTATGAGTCAGAATCGACTCCATGTCAGTGGACTTTATGAGGACCGAACAAGGCAATCCCAGGGACGATCACTGCCGGGGCTTTGTAGCACAGCGCGTCTCGCCCTGCCCCCAAATGCAACTGGGGTCGGGATGTGGTCCCCAAGCCCGGATGGGGAGGCACGCAGCGCCCAGACAAAACCGCACCTGGGAGTCCGCCCGCGCCCCTCCCGCACACGTCTCACCTGACACCAGCAGGCAGCCGCCCAACCAGCTTGTAAGAGTCCGCGCCATGGTTGCACCGGAGCCCAGTAGGGCCTTTGGGGCCCACACACTGATGCCAGACTCTGGTTCCAGCGCCCCGCCCCGCCCCGCCCCGCCCCGCCCGTTCCCGGAAGTGGCTGGGGGCTGGGAGGCCCGGGCTCCTCCCTCGCCCCGCCCCCGCCGGGCTCTAGCGACTCCAGAACCACAAATCTGCTGCACTTATACACTGTGAGAAAGAACTCTGAAGACCAAGTCTGTATTAAAAGTATTTTTGTATTATCCTTTACTAACCTCCAAACATTTTACAACATACATATACAACACACACATATATATACACAGGTATACATTGGTTATTCCAAAAGATCACCTTCAAAATATGATAGACACACGGGGGGGGGGGGGCAGAAAAACGTGCTGTGTACATGTTAAGATCCATTTCCTACGGAATTTCATTAAATTATTAAATAAGGGCTTCCCCCCTTACAGCCCTCTCCTTTGTTACTTTAGAGCAATTATAAAAATAATTAAAAAGTCCTTGAATTAGGACATGTATATATTTTTCCCCCCTTATGGGAAATGGGCTAAGGTCTGAGAAACCTGCTCTTGGGATGAGGGGAGTGAGAGCCCCTCAGGTTCGCATTTCCTTCCCCTGTGTATTTTCTATTATTTCCAACTAGATTTATAGGGGGAGTTCTGGTTGGGTGCCTAAGGAATTTGACTTCTAACTAGAAGGCTGCTATTCAAACCCACCAGCCACTCTTTGGAAGGAAGATTTAGCAATCTACTTCTGTAGAGATACTGCCTTGGAAATCCAAGGAGGGGGTCCCTGTGAGGTGGATTTGAATCCAGGGCAGTAAGTTTGGAATTTTTTTTTTTTTTTTGGTTTAGAGTCATAGAATCTTGGTGGTTATCTAGTCCAGTCCCCTCCATTTCACAAATGAAGAAACAGAGGCTCAGGACAGCTAAGGGAAGCACCCAGGGTCACAATGAAGTGAGGAGCAGAGTAGGATGTGTGTCCCAGACCTTGTACTGCTTGCTACACATGACAATGTAGAACTTCACATTTTTGCTTTTCAGATTTACAGGAACTTTATGACATTACTTGTTGGACATTTGGAATCAGCACACATAACACTTCCTAAATTGTTAAAGGGGATTTCTAGGGCTTTATGATGTATTTCTTCTAAAGACCTTGAAGCACTTTTACATCTGCTCTCACTTTAGTCAAAATAGGGCACTGAGATTCCATTCTGCTCTACCATCCTAATGCTTCCTTTAGTCAACTGCCTAGTATTACAGTTAGGGGTGTGTGTGTCTTCCCCACTAGAGCTGAGGAGGGCTGGAAGAGGGGTCAGAGTCTTGAAGGAAGGAGAATACAACATCTGGGACTGGCCAAGGATCATTCATTAAACCACTGCTGGACCACTTGTTTCTTCCTGTGTCCCTTTCCTTGGCTCTCCAGAGGTCAACCCTCCTCTCCCCTGTCTTCCTATTTGAGGCTCTCCCCTTGAGCTTGCTGGGACACAGCTGGGGTCTCCACTTGTTAAATACTGCTGGTTGCTCCTACCATGAAACCTGCCGAGCTTTCTCCTTCTCTCTCCCCACTCCCATCTTAGTCAATTTAACTACTTCCTAGAAATAGTACATGGCACTGGCCCATGCCTACAAAGCACCGTGTCTCATTTTAAGACTTCAAAAAGGTGAGAACCTTGCTCCATACTCTGGCAGCCAGCATGCAGATACACTGTAAGTACATGAAAGTAAAGGGAATTGGCAGAGACTTTTCCCTTCAAAATGCATTCCTTTAAACATGTAAACAATGCACTTGAACGCCACCATGGGTCCCATACTGGGATTCTGCATAGATGATGTTACAGGACAGAGCTGGGCTGATTCCAGAGTTTCCTATGTTTTCTCTTAGAGAACATTTCCAGACCACAAATGGGCAAGGAAGAGTTCCAGGAAGGAGAACTTACAACAGTTACTTGTCAGTTCCAGTTAAATATTTCTGGAATCATCTCATTATATAACCATCCCTGATGTCTACATCCGACTCAGAGGTGTCGCTTTTCTCGGAAGGAGCATCATCAGAGGACAGGCACTCTTCAGAGGGGGACTTTGTCCCCTCCTCCCTGAGAACGAGAAAGCTTGATTCCATCTCTGTGGTGTCTTCTAGGTCAACTGTCTCTTCCTGAAGAGATAATGGCACTGGAGGGATGCCTTTGTCATCATCAAGGGGCCTCACAAATACAGAGTTTAAATCCACATTGAAGATTACTCTGTCCCCAGACCCCTCAGTGGAGCTGCTATCATCCTCAGAAAAGGAGTCCTGAAGCAGACTCTCCCTCCTTTTGTAGGGTCCACTTGAGCATTCTGACTGCCCAGATCCGGGCCCTGGTACTGGTGGAGAATCAGCCTTGACCTCTGGCAGCTCAAATTCATCTGCATCTGGGTCTATAAAGTGCAACTCTTCAGAGGTAGACAAGGAGATGAAGGACTGAGTTGGGGGCTTGCCAATTAGTCCACGCATAGTGTAACCACCGGCACTTGTTCTAGGGGCTATTTCACCCTCGCTGTCACTGTCGTCATAATTGTAGTTCCACACTTTCTTCTTTTGGTTGATATAAATGACCTCCACTATGTCCACTGTTTCCAATGGCAGTGGCTTGGGAAATATCCAGGCTGCCCAGTTATGAAAATTCTTGGGGGGGAAAAAAAAAAAAAAAAGTCTATCAATTCTGAGTTTTGGCTCTTTACTTTCTGTATAATAAAATGTAATAAGATTAACTGCATGATGATGAGGATGGTGATTATGGCAACAACAGCAGCAGCTAACAGTAGACAATGAAAAAGGATGACCAAAGAACCAATACATTTGAACTGTGGTGTTGGTGAAGAATAGTGAATATACCATGGACTGCCAGAAGAATGAACGAATCTATCCTAGAGGAAGTGCAGCCAGAGTGCGCCTCAGAAGCGAGGATGATGACACTTTGTCTTGTTACTTTGGACATGTTATCAGGAGGGACAATCTCTGGAGGACATCATGCTTGGTAAAGCAGAGGGTCAATGAAGATGAGGAAAACTCTCAATGATGTGAGCTGACACACTGGCTGCAACAATGGGCTCAACCATACCTACTCTTGTGAGGATGGCACAGAACCCAGCCATGTTTCATTCTGTTATATATGGGGTCACTGTGAGTCAGAGCCAACTGAGCACCTAACAATAGATAAAACAAAACCAAACCAGTTGCTGTGGATTCTGACTCATGATGACCCCATGTATTGCAGAGTAGAATTGCACTCCACAGGATTTTCAAGTCTGTGACTTTTGGAAACACATTGCCAGGCCTTTGTTCCAAGGTGCCTTTGCATGAGTTTGAACTGCCAACCTTTTGGTTAGTAGTTGAGTGTTTAATTGTGTGCACCACCTATGGACTCCTAACAGATCTATTGTTATTAAGTGCCATAGAGTCAGTTCCAACTCATAGCAACCCTATGTATAATAGAATGAAACACTGCCTAGGCCTGCACCATTCTCACAATCACTGCTATGCTTCGGCCCACTGTTGCAGCCACTGTGTCAGTCTGTCCGTTGAGGGTCTTCCCCAGTATCATCGCTGACTTTACTAAGCATGATGTCCTGCTCCAGAGACTGGTCCCTTTTGACATGACCAAAGCACAAGAGACGAACTTTGGCCATCAGTGCTTCTAAGAAGCATCCTGGCTGCTCTTCTTCCAGGACAGATTTGTTCACTCTTCTGACAGTCCACTATTGACCAAGCACTGCTCTTGGTGCTCTACAATTATAATAATTCATTTTTATCCCCAAAGGTACTCTATGAAGTAGGCTTATTCTTCTTTCTTTATATTTGAAAAACAACAACAACAACAACTCACTGTCATTGAGTTATGATTGACAGCAACCCCCATTGGGTTGTCAAGGCTGTAAATCTTCATGATCTTCTGTGGAGCAGCTGGTAGGTTCAAACCACTGACCTTAAGGTTAGCAGCCAAATGCCTTAACCAATACACACCACCAGAGCTCCTTATTCCCACTTTATAGATGAGAAAATAAGGGACTGACAGGTTAGAAGCTTGCCCAAGGTTCATGAGTTAAGTGGCAGAGCTGAATTTATAACCAGGCAGGCTGCCTGCAGGGACTGTGCTGTTGGTCATTGCTCCCTACCTCCTCTCATCTGTCTGCCTGCATGTCAGGGAAATCTCTCCATCTGAGCTGGGAGTTTATCCAATTGTGGAATCCCAAGACATCCTTAACTCACTGCTGTGGAGTTGGATCTGACTCATAACAACCCCTCCTTGAGTTTCTGAGCCTGGTAGAGTAGTGCCTAAGGCACTTGACTGCTAACCAGAAGGCTGGCGGTTCAAACCCACCAGCCACTCCTCGGAAGGAAGGTTGGGCAATCTACTTCCATAGTGATACAGCCTTGGAAACCCAAGGAGAGGTCACTATGAGTCGGGTCTGACTAGACGGCACATAACAACAACAACATCTCTATAGAAGTGGGCTGCCCAATCTTCCTTACAAGGATTGGCTGGCGGGTCTGAACCGCCTGCCTTCTGGTTAGCACTACGTCACCAGAGCTCCTAAGACATCCTTCACAACCACTGCCATCGAGTTGGATCCGACTCATAGTGACCCCTCCTCGCGTTTCCGGGGCGGTATCACTAAGGAAGTAGATTGTCCAACCTTCCTTCCTCCTTAAGGGGTGTCAAAGAGCTCTGGGTGAGCTCTAGAAAGTCTACTCCGTCAGGGTCAAAGGCCAGGGGAATGTGCATATCTTGGGGAGCGGGGAAGGCTTAAAGATGCAAAGATCCTTAAATGGCAAAGGCTCAGGGCGAGAGAGGCTCCTGGAAGAAAATGCCTCTCAGACACAGAGGAGGAGTGAGTAATTTTGGGGGATTTTTCACCAAACTGATCACAATGGGCAAAGGGTAAGGAGGGTGGTCACAAGATTCCCTTCCAAGACCTGGAATCACCACCAGCACCATGCTCCTCTCTCCCCTCATGGGCCTGCATTGGTCCCACATTGATTAACACATAACACTTTGAAATAACAGCAAAATAATGATTCACTACGAACAGGATTCGTTTACTTTGAAAAAATGCAAGGCTAATACATGCAATGAACATGAAAAAGAGTAAATCTCAAACAATTTATCTCAACAGATGTTTCTATTGGGTTATTTATCTTTTTCTTACTGATTCATAATAATTCTTTATAAAATCTGGACAGTAATGTGAATTATTTTGTTACATTTATTTTCTCCCAGTTTGTGGTGTATCATTTTACTTTCTTTATGATGTCTGAAAGGGAAAGAAATTCTTTATTTTAATGTAAGAGAATTTTTCAATTTTTTTTTCTTTAACTTTATGGCATTTGGTTTTTGTATTTGAAGAAAATCTTCCTTACTCTAAAGTCATCCAGCATCTCCTATATTGTCTTCTACAACTTTTACAGTTTTACCTTTTATAACAGTCTTTAATTTACCTGGGACTGATTTTTCTATATGGGGTGGAGCAGGAATCCAATTTCATTCTCCCCAGATAGATAACATTTACTGACTGGCCCTTCCTCTCCTTGCTGATCTGCAATACTCACTGTCCCATAAATCAACTTTTCATATGTGTGATGTGTTTGGGGGCTCCTCATTTGATTACCCATTGCCATTAGGTCGATTCTGATTCATAGTGACCTTATAGGACAGAGTAGAACTGCTCCATAAGGTTTCCAAGGTTGTAAATCTATACAGAAGCAGACTGTCACATCCTTTTCCTGTGGAGTGGCTAGTGGTTTTCAACCACAGACTTTTGGTTAGCAGTCGAGCACTTAACCACTGTGCCACCAGGGTTCCTTCCCATTTGATTAGGTCTTTGATAATGCCTTTCAACAATGTCTGATAACTTTCTTCATAAAGGGCTTGTACATCTTCTGTTAGACTTATTCCTTAGATGTTTTTAGAATATTTTTTGTTGCTATTATAAGGGTATCCTTTTTTTTTTTTAACTGTATGATTCTATTTGTATAAGATTAAAAACTAGGTATAACTAATCTACATTGTCAGAAATCAGGGTAGTATTTGCCTTTTGTGGGGGTAGTGACTGGAAGGTGGCAGGAGAGAGGCTTCTGGATGGCTGGTCACGTTCTCTTTCTTCATCTGGGCATGAGTTACATGGATGTGTCCAGTTTGTGAAAATTCAGAGAACTGTGTGTCTATGATTTGTGTATTTTATTTCGTGGATGTTGAAAAGCAACTTCCTGCTTCTTTTTTAACTCAAATGTTGCTACTCTGTAAAAATGCAAGCATTTTTATATTTATTTTGTATCTAATACCCTTCCTAAACTTTTTTTCAATCCTAATAGTTTATCTGTAGATTCATTTCAATATTTTACTTGGACAATTCATATTATCTATAAATAATTGCTATTCCTCCTCCTTCTCAGACATTAAGCTCCATGACAGCAGGATTTTTGTTTTGTTCATTTCTATATCCCTAGTCTCTAGAACATGTTGGCACATAGTAGACGCTCAATAAATACCTATTACATGCAAGCAGACAAAAACAAGGATGCCATTTAAAATTTTTTGCAGCTATTATTCAAGCATACAAAAACACAATAGGTCTAGAGTGTTCTGTTTTAATATTCCTAGAGGTTTTTTTTTTGTTGTTGTTATTTTGTTTTTAAATATAGAACAATGAGTTTTAATGGAAAAATACTAGGGCATTCTCTGCTAAAAACAGGAACTAGATAAAACACATTAATTACCACATGGGCTTAACAGAGTAACAGGAATAATAGCAATTGGCATGTAATATAGACCCAACTTGAGGAGGGAGAAACACCACGGGGCTGTGGGAGGAGGGTTAGTATTAAGTTTAGGTAACCAGTACACCCAACAAAGACAGGGGCTATACTAAAGGGCTTTATATCTTAAGCCACTGTGAGAAATGAGTTGGAGTAGAATTTACCTATGGCCTCAAGGCCAAAGCAATGTATGTCAGGAGAAGTTGGAATAAAGGTTAGAAGTAAAGCTACAACTTGAACACTTCAGTGATTCTAGAAGGCACGTTACACTGATGGATAAAAAAATACCCACATTTCAAGACAGGGATTGCTTTGTGGACAAAGCCCAACACAGAGCCAGCCCCACCTCATAAAACACACCCAAATGCCAGCTAGATTCAGATATTCCACGTAATTAAAATCTCCAAAAACAGACCCCACTCCCACCCCCATAAATCACTCCTCTCCTAGCCCAATCCAAAAAATAAAAACAACAGGAGAAGAGTACAACTTTATCAATGGGGGAGGAATATTTAAATAAATGGGTGTTGAAAAAACAGTAGATAACAAAATAAGGTGAATGAGTTCAAAATAGAAAAATAAGATACTTCTGAATGAATATTGAGAGCTCTGGTGGCGTAGTGCGTAAGGCATTTGACTGCTAACCAGAAGGCTGATGGTTCAAACCCACCAGCTGCTCCTTGGAAGGAAGATTGGGCAATCTACTTCCATAGAGATACTGCCTCGGACACCCAAGGAGGGGTCGCTAAGAGTCAGGACTGATTACAAAACTAATATAAGAAGCAAGCAATAAGGCAGGAAAAATGATAAATGATGGATTAAAAAGAGTTGAGTCAAAATATATGAAGAAGTTTTAGGAATATGGAAGATCAATACCCAGGAGTCCTTGGGTGGTACAAAATGGTTTGTGCTTGAGAGGTTGGTGGTTCAAAGTCATCCAATGGCCTGCTGACTGTAAGAAAGACCTGGTGATCTGCTTTCATAAAGATTATAGTCAAGAAAACCCTATGAAGTTCTACTCTGTAACACATGGGGTCACCATAACTCTGAATTGGCTTGGCAGCAAAGGTTTTGGTTTAAGATCAATATCCAGACTTGGCTGGGAGGTTAAAATAAAGGTTCTACATAGAAAGCACGTGCCTTGGGAAGAAGAAACAAAGACAAAAAAAGCAGCTAGTTTTACCAGTAGTTAAATTAACACAAAGGAACTCTGGTGGTGTAACAGTGAAGCACTTTGCTGCTAACTGAAACGTTGGTGTTTCGAACCCACTCAGCAGCTCCTCAGGAGAAAGACTTGGCAATCTGCTTCCATAAAGACTGCAGCCAAGAAAACCCAATGGGGCAGTTCCACTGTGTAACATATGGGTTCACTATGAGCTGAAATCAACTTGATGGCATGTAACAGCAACCAATTAACACAAATGGGAGCAACTACATGGAACCACTAAACACACAATACATGAATGAAACAAGGGAAAATGATTAATCCTAATGTTAGCAGGGCTTTGGAGAAATGTGCACACCTATACATCATCACTGACATTATAAATAAGATGTATTTTATCCTATCATTTTATAAGATAAATCCACTCAATGTATATATTCAACTGAAGAAATACAAAATAAAAAAGATAATCTGTATAAGAAGGACAAATATTATATTAGTTCATTATTGTAAAAAGTCATGGAGAGATTTATATACGGAAGGAAACTTTGTTGGTTATCAGGGATGGGAAGGGAGGGAACACTGCAAAAATAAAAAACAATAAATTTTAAAAAAAGGTAAATCTGTATAAACATGTTCATTGTGTTATTCATAATGGCCATAGAAAGAAAGAAAAGGAAATAAAATCAAACCAAATGCTTGACAGATGAGAAACAGTTAAGGGAAAAATGATATTTTAGTAATAATGGAATACTATGTGCTCATTAAAAATAATATGTAGACAAAGTGTAAAAAGAAAACATAAAATGCATGTATATGTTATACATGGCAATACATGTTTATAGAGATGGAAAAGAACTCAGAATGATATGTAACTCCCTGGTGTTTTTAGAAAATGGGATTTTCTTCTATGAAAATATTTAAGTTAAAATTAAAAAAAGAGATAGAAATTAAAAAAACAAAGTACATACCAAAGCACCGGGGAAATCATTTTTTAAGCATAAATAACCACTCCGTTTCAGTGTTATTATGCTGCTTGTGAAGAAAGCTGCTATTAAAAATATAGTGATTATTCCTCCTATTTTGACAGATTCTGATGACTCTGTTGATAAAAATTAAATAACTTTATTACAAAATAAATCCAATGAACAATCACAGATGGGAATATATGCACATTGTTTTGGTGGTGGAAGGTAGTAACAAGGAAGCAGAAGTTTGAAAACCTAGTTTTATGTTGTTAACAGAAGAATAGAAAGCAATTCAAGTACAAATATTTTTTTAAGTGATAAAATGACAGATTTAATTTTTCAAAGTAAAATTCATTTCAATTTATAATCATGTTCTATTAATGGCACTGTCAAATATCACAGCCACTAGCCACATGTGGCTATTTAATTTGAAATTTATCAATATTAAATATAATTTAAAATTCAGTTGCTCAGTCATAGTAGCTACATTTCACATGCTTAATAGCTACATGTTAGTATGCACTGCAGGCAGAAAGAAGTAGAAAAAGGAGAGTCTGACTGAAAAAAAGCAACTGGGTCATTCTGTGGCTGGATTTTGTCCAAGTCAGGATCCAAATCAGGGCTTTGCAGCACTAGTTTTGTCCTGTTGGAAGTTCTCCCTAGTTTCTTGGTCAAAATTCCTTTGAAAAATTTCAACCCATTCTTACTGAGATGAAATTTGTAGTCATGTAACTAAAATACAGGACACAAACCAAACAAGCTGCTGTCGAGTTAATTCCAACTCACAGTGACCCCATGTGTTGCAGAGTAGAACTACACTACATAGGGCTTTCAGTGGCTGAATATTTGGAAGTAGACTGCCAAGTCTTTCCTCCTTGGCACCTCTGGATGGACTTGACCCTTCAACCTTTCCCTTAGTAACCAAGCGCATAAACCATTTGCATACCCATAGACTTCATTCAAAACATGAAACCAGTTGCCTTCAAGTAGACCCTGACTCATGGAGACTCCACGTGTGTCAGAGTACAACCGTGCTCCACAGGGTTTTCATAGCTGTGACCTTTCAGAAAGAGATCACTAGGCCTTTCTTCTGAGGTACCTCTCAATGAGTTCAAACCTCCAACTTTTAGATTAGTAGCCAAGCACTTAACCATCTGTGCCACTTAAGGACTCTTTTAACTTTCTTGGATAATTACAAAAGAGTGGAGACTGACTTAATATGCAAAATAATGTGTTCACACCAAGTAAAGGTAAAATGACAGCACAACATGCTGTTGTATTGAACACTTCTTAGTAGGTGAAATAAGAGAAAAGTAGGGGGAGACAGCAAATTATCACAGAGCATGTTAACTTCCAAAGAACCTTTGTCTTTGCAGTCAGCAACACAGTCACTTTGTAAGTAGGACTGAGTTCCAGGAAACAATCATCTGTTTCATCATATTACTAATTTGATTTTTATTGGTTTTGCAATCCGTACTTTTGTGGAGGTTTACTATTTATAAGAGGTAGAGGCATAAGGGTCCCTTAGTGGTGCAAACGGTTAATGTGCTCAGCCGCTACCTGAAAGGTAGGAGATTCAAGTCTACCTGAGATGCCTTGGAAGAAAAAGCCTGGTTTGATTTAGTTTGTGGGCATAAGAAGTCTATATTCTATTTTATGTTTGCCCAGATTTAATTGGCATTATAAAAATTTAAGTAACTTAAATTTTTCTTTGAAAATTGGTTTGTTCCTCATTTGATTTTGAGGAACACTGAGGAATAAAATCACACTATCTTGTAGTTATGTGCTAACTAGTTGCCATCAAGTTGACTCTGACTCATAGCAACCCCATGAGTGTCAGAGGAGTGCCGTGCTTCACAGGGTTTTCAATCGCTGATGTTTCAGAAGCAGATCACCAACAATTGCCTCCTTTGCCATGAGACCAGACTGGATAGTACCTGGCTACTATTACTGAATGTTTGGTCAAAGATTTTATAGAAGAATCCCGATCAAGAAGAGGAAAAATATATAACAGAATTTCCAATTCTCATGGGATCTAGACCTTCTAGAGCCACTGAGGCTTGATGAACCCCAATACTATTGCCCTGAGATAATCTTTAAGCCTTGAACTAAAAATATTCCCTGAAGTCATCTTTAAAACAGCTAAGCTTAACTAATAAATAATGTCTGCCTTGAACATTGCACTCTTTTAAAGAACTACTTACATAGTATCAAATTGACAACAGCAACTTGAAAGGTTAGATAACAAGCTTAGAGGGCAATGAGTTTACATTAATGGGGGTGGAATAACTTGGAAAAGAAGAGTGAGACTATTTGGTTGCACAACTTGAAAAATCAAATCACTGTCATTGAATTGTACACATAGAAATTGTTGAATTGGTCTATGTTTTGCTGTATATATTTTCAACAATTAAAAAAAAAGTAGTAGATCACCAGGCGTTTTTTCTGAGGTACCTCTAGGTGGAGATGAACCAGTTACAGGTACGTGTTAATCCTTTGCACCACCCAGGGACTCCCTCTTATGCTCTAGGCACTGCTTAACGCATCTCATGCAATCCACAAATAAGCCATACCACTCTACTTACAAATCATTTACTTGTAAATTTCACCTTATTTTTAATCTGGTAAATCAGAACATTAAAAGAAACTTCCAGCAGGGTCAGGAGATTCAGAAGGGCTTCTTTGGTGGACAGTTTCATGTATATTCACTTTTGTTGAAATAGTTAGAGACCTAGTTACTTCCTAAGGAACTAATCAGCAGTGAATGTTCCTGACCAAGCCTCCTTGTTCTTACTGCAAATTTTTCCATCAGACATGAGATTCAGGATCACGCTATTTACTGTTTGGAAGCCTTCAACCTTCCCAGTGATTATGTTGTCTGCACTGGCAAGATTCCCTTTCATCTCTGAAAGGCCACACCTTTGGGACACACCTTAACCTCACTGTATCCAACATTTTACCCTCTGATGCCTTTGCATACAGGTGCTTTATATGACCTGCATCTTCAAGTATTTGGCTTGAGCTAAGGACAAACAAGTTTCCTGGTTTGTGCTTAACTACTAACCAAAAGGTTGGTGGTTTGAACCCACCCAGTGATGCTATGGAAGAAATACCTGGCGAACTGCTTCTGTTAAGATTACAGCAAGAAAACCCTATGGAGCACAGTTCTGTAACAGTCACGGCTGCCATGAATCAGAATTGAGTCGACAGCAATGGTTTGGTTTTTTTTTTTTTGGAAGAACACATAGCACTGAACTTAATCATGACTCCTTGAAATAAAAGGAAGATTTCTTATAAAGGTAGATATGTGATTGACCCAAAATCATGACAATATATTTTTAAGTGACTCCACCACAGTAGAGAGTGGCCAACAGAAAACATCTTCTGTGATGTGCCTTTATTAGAAGACATGCCTTTAGTGCTCTACCACTTTCAAATTCTAAATTTTAAAAAATGAACATACCTGATTCCTGGTCAGGAAGGAGGATACATTTTAAGGGGGCTCTTGTGACTGTTTCCTGGTATGTAGGCTCAAAATAAACTGATACACAGTAATTTGTGTTTGGAATTAACTTGTCAATGATATAATTGATATTTCCAGTAATGTTTCCATTTATTTTGGGTTTATGCTGTAAAAACAATAAGCAAAAATCAGTAAAACTTTTAGCAAGAATTTCATTTAGAAGCAGGCTCTTAAGGATTTAATGTTGTCCCACAAAATATGTGTTGGAATCCTAAATCCCTAAAATATATACTGGTTGTGATCCCTTTTGGGAATAAAACACAAAATCAAACTCACTGCCATCGAGTCAATTCTGACTTACAGTGACCCCTTTGGCTTTCTCAGGTGGTAAATATTTATGGAAGTAGATTGCCAGTCTTCCGTCTTCCTTCTGCGGGGTGGGTGGTGGGTTTGAACTGCCAACCCTCTGATTAGCAGTCAAATGCCTTAGGCACCACACCACCAGAGTGCCTCTTTTGGGAATTGGCTTTTCTTATTAACGAGGCCTAAACCTAATACCTTCTGAGTGATATAAGGAACAGCACAGACATAGAGACAAACAAGCACAAATGTGGGAAAGATAAGATGCCTTATGGAGCTCACCAAGGAACAGACACTGAAAGAGACAAAGATTATCCCCCAGAGCCAAAAGAGAGATCCCTACCTGAGAGCTGGTCCCCTGAGCTCAGACTAACAGACTCCTGAGCTATGAGAAAATCACTTTCTGTTTACTTCTGTAGTGATACAGCCTCTGAAACTCAAGGAGGGGTCGCTGTGAGTCGGATCCAACTCGATGGCAGTGTGTGTGGTTTTGTTTTAGAAGGCCACTCACTTGTGGTATTTCTATTACAGCAACACTAAGAAACTAAGACACAGGCCTTAACATCTCTCTGAGGGATGTGTCTTCAAATTTTAAATAGGGACAGAAAAACTATAGGTTTGGCAAGAAAGATTATATGTAAGTCACTTGGGGCAAGTAACTTATCACAAAACCACATGTATACATACATCCACACACACACACATATGTATTTCTAAACCATGGAATTATTTAGTGTAGTACCTTCATTCAACAAGAGGAAAAAAAAAATCCCAAAGAGGAAAGAGGTCTTTATGTTATTTTTGCAAGGGTCTCTTGCTTCGTTAACAATATGTGGTGTAGTAAATTACATAGTGTGGCTTTTCTAGCCCTAAGTCTTTGTAAACTCCATGGTGGAATTTGCCATGAGCAACTGAGTAGCTCCTGACTGTTAAAGTTATCCACCTGGGGTACTTCTGTTGGGAGCAACACGAAGCAATCTTCTGGGAAGTTCACTCTCTCTCAGGTGTATAGAATTCTGATGTTGGGACTGGTTAGTTTGGTCACTCTGCCAGCCTCAAAAAGGAGCCTTCCTAGAGGCAAGGAATCTCTCACTGCCAGATGGGAGACACAAGAGACACATGCTGCTGGGAGAGAGACGTGAGAGACACATGCTGCTAGGAGAGAGACTTAAGAGACATGCGCTGCTGGGAGAGAGACTGAGAGACATGGACTGCTGGGAGAGAGACCGTTGGCTGAGAGACGGTGGGCTGAGAGACTGAGCATGTTCCTGAACTTGAATTGTAGCCTGTTGCTTCCCTAATAAACCCATAATCTTTGAGTTCTGTGTGGCCACTGCAGCGAATTTTCGAGCTCAGCAGAGAGGTGGCGGGGCTGCGGTTGGTGTCAGGGTTGGTGAAAGGGCTGGAAGGGGTAGCATGTCTGTCCTTGCAGGGATGGGCCTTGGGCTACTGATGGTGATTCTGTCTTCCTCTTGTGCAGTTAGAGGAGGTCGGAAGACGCAGCCTCCCTGCCCCTTTGGCACAATATATATGTACTTTACACTTCAGAAAGTTTTTTCACACACATTAACTCACTCGATTTTCACAGCAGTCTGCAAGGTAGTATCACCCCCATTCTACACATGAGGAAACTGCGTCTCAGAGGGGTTAAGTAACTTCCCTGAGGTCACACAGCTTGCCTGTGGCAGAACTGAGGCTGATGTCTGTTTCCTATTTTCTCCCTTAAAACATTCCACCTCTTTTTTCCCATGTAGCTCTAACCCATTTTGGGATTAAAGCCATAATAGAAAGGTTCTTTCATAACTAACGACTTTGTAGAATGGTTCATAGATTTGAAAACACATGCTTAGTAGCAATTTTATAAACATTAGGCTTTCTAGCAGTTCAAATAGAGCCTTCTACAATAATGTTTTTCTGCAGGTTTCTATTTAGGAGGAAGAACTATGTAAAAACACAACAAACTAAAAGTTCCTGCATGACAATGCATAATGAAGAAGAAAGGGGGACAGGAGCAGGTCAGGTGTCATGGGCAGAGGCCTTTCCTCACAATGGAACAGCATAACATGGCATCACAGACCTGGTGCTGCTGTATGTGATCTGGAGGAGGGCTACAATGCTTACTTCCTTTTCACTGTGAAAAGGGAAGCTTCCATCAAGTGCTACCCTCCAGTACACATCTGTGCCCAGCTATTCCTATTCTCTTGTCACTCAGGAGACACTGTCCCTGCTCTGAGTCAAGGCCAATCCCTGCACGTTCTCATGAGACCCCATCCACTCTCTTACTCTTACATTTCTGCTCCAGCAACGCACTCCTCCCACCTCTAGCACTCCATGGGCATACGAACATGCTACAATTTCTCCCATCTTCAAAACTCCTCCTCTTGACCTCACCTCCCTCTGCAGCTCTCTCCTCCGCTTTATAGAAATGACCGCACTGGTAGGCTAAATCAATGAACTATGGAGACTTTCTACCTCAAGTAAGACTACAGTAAAGTCCCAACCTTTTAGTTTCACTTGTTCAACTACACATTTCTTTTTTAAAAGGAGAGTCAAGTGCATTTATTGTCAACTCACAACTGCCTTGATCCTCACACTAGAGACCACTTACCTTCTTCACAATCTCCCCTGATTGCAGTTCAATGACGAGCGAAAAATAACGCTGTAATATTCCCACATTTATTATCTTGGGAGGGTAGGATGGAAATTTCACTATCACATTAATGTGGTCCTTGGAGCCAAAAATCTCAAAGTCCACTGGTTCAAATGATACTGTTTAGGAAGTAAAAGTCAGAAATAAATTCCAACTTCAGTCAATTACAATATAACCATAATGCATCCTATTGTCATGATACAGGCTACTTCTTTACAAGTATTTTCTCTTTCATCTATAGCCTTAGCTTATTGCATACTTTTAAAAAAAAATATATTATTGGTGAAGAGCTAGAAGCAATATAAGTGATTTGCATCATACTACCCCAAGACATCAAGGACCAAGTCTGAGATGAGAATCAGTAACTTTTCCAATTTTCAGGCTGTATTCTAAGCACAAAAATGAAAAAATGACTCCTCCCATATTACAATAATAATATATAATTATTATAGAAATATAAATGGAAAATACAGATAGGCAATTATTCCTGAATGCAGTTAATCATTTTTTGTCATGTGTGTATGTAAATACATTGTTATTAGCTACGCCAACTCAGGGCAACCCCATGCACAACAGAACGAAACACTGTCTGGTTCTGCACCAGATTGTGAATTAGACTGTTATGATCCACTCTTCCCAGTCTGTCTTAGTCTGGAGGCTCAGCTGAAATCTGGTCAGCATCATAGCAGAGGGGTGGTGGTTGTGCATGAGGGGCTTTGGATGGGAATCAAACCTGTGCCTCCCACGTGAAAACAAGAATGCTACCACTGCACCACCACTGCCTCCTGCATACTCCCACACACAAAAATAAACAAACAGAATCACTCTTGCACACACTTTTATATGTTTTATATATTTCACTTATCAGTGTTTCATAAACATATTAATAATTATTCATCTGTATCAAGGGCTAGCAAACTACAACCTGTGGATTACATTTTTGTATGGTCTGAAAGCTAAGAATGTTTAATGTTACAATAACAATATATAATATTATATATATAATAATGTATAAAAATAGAAAGAATATGTGACAGAGGCCATACATAGCCCACAAAGTCTGAAGGATTTCTTATCTGCCTTTTACACTAAATTTTCTGACCCCTGATCTACATCACCTTTTTAATGGCTAATTATATTCCACTAAGTGGCTGTACTGTAACTTAACCAAATTGTTGTACTTAACATTTAGACTGCCCCTAATTTTTCTGAATACCATCAATGTCTCAACTCAATGTTCTTTGAGCTAAATCTTTGTATACATCCTTAATTATTTCTCTAGAACAAAAAACTAAAGAGGGACTGGAGTAGGCATGTGGTAAGGTTTTTAATCACAATGCCAATTATCTTTAGAAAGATACCTCCAAATTATACTCCCTATATTCCCTCTGAACCTGGTTATTGATGTATTTTTAATACTTTCTATTTTGATTTATGAGAAGTGATATCTTGTTATTAACTTAATATACTTTCTTTAGTAGTCTGAATACGATGATACAGAAATTGTGTTTTTCTTTCTTTTTTATATATACATACACAGACAAATGTCTGCTTAGATACACACACGCAATTCCAGAAAATCTCAAAAGCATCCAAATTATTTGCCACAGTGGAATTCAGTTGTCATGGACATTTTGCTAAGCATGTATATATAAGTGTACACCCACACACTCTAAAACAGGGAACTGAAATCTAATCTTTATCTTGGAAACAGGCTGTAAATTAGGAAATTGAGAAAGCATTGGAGCCTGGTAGAAGGCTGTGAACCATTCTCTTGGAGTTGTCTTTGGAAGCTGCCTCCAATCACGGGGAGAAAAAGAAGGGACACATTGAGTCGTATCTCAGAGTTGCCTTTCTTCTCTGATTTTTGGGCCCTAAGTGGGTACACACTTGAGTGTTTATGCTCACAAGAGTTACTGGTGTATACCAATGTTCATTGTAGCACTATTCACAATAGCCAAAAGGTAGAAATAACCTAAATGTCTATTAATGTGACATGATGAATAGATAAACAAATTGTCATTCATACAATGGAATATTACTTCACATAAAGACAAATGAAGTCCCGATACATGCTACATGACCAAACCCTGAAAACATTATGCTGAATGAAATAAAATAAACATAAAAGGACAAATACTGGATGATCCCATGAAGATGAAATAGGCAAATATATAGGGACAAAGTTTGTTAGTGGTTACTAGGGGTGGGAGGGAGGGGATACAAGCAGAATCACTGCTTGGAGGTCTCTGAGTTTTTGTTAATGGTAGTGGAATAATTTGGAAAAGGATAGTGGTGATGGTTGTACAACATGATGAATATAATCAATGTCCCTGAACTGAACATATAACAATGGTTCTGGTTACCTAGTGCTGCTCTGACAAGGATATACCACAAATGGGATGGCCTTAACAAACAGGAGTTTATTCTCTTACAGTTTGGAAGCTTTAAGTCCAAGTTCAACGTGCCAGGCTCTAGGGGCTGGGTGAAAGCCCCTCAACCTTGGGGTCCAGCTCTGCCTCCTGCTCCCGGCCCACTGGAGCCAGAGGCTTTTCTTCACTCAGACAGCTGCTGGCTGCTGAGTCTGACAAACCCAAGGTTGACAAGTAAAAAGGCACAGTCCTGATGTTACCAAACATGGCAGGCCATTAATTGAAGTCCATTGTAAATCCCAAGTCGGCAGAGCATGGTAGGCTGCTGAACAACAACATAGCTACATGCAGGGTACAAGCATGCCATAAGCTAGAGACCATTCACAAAGATGCTTCTTATATATGAGAAGCAGACCACATACCCAAAGCAGCTACTCAGCTGCTTGTGGTAGATCCCACCATGGAGCTGACTGCCAGTCTCATCATGGGGAATAAATACCACCAGCTGCCCAGCCACTCAACCAGGCCCAGCCAAGTTGACACACAAACATAAATACCACAATTGTTGATGGCAAATGTTTTGTTACATATATTTTACCACAATAATGGTAACAGAAAAAGAGCTACTGGACTATAACTTGGGGATAGAGTTGAAGTATTAAGGAAAGCAATGGCCAGAGAGACAGGTTAGATAGAGGCCACCTGAACCCTACTCTCTATTTCCTGTCAGATTGTGAAACAAACAAAATTAGCAGCTACTAGTTACTGAATGCCTACCTCACACAGGCATTTTAGCAATCATCTTCGGAGTACAGATTATCATTCCACTTTTCAGATAAGAAAACTGAGGATTAGAGATGCAAAGTAACCAGTCCCTGTAACAGAGCTAGTAAGTGGTGGGGCCAGGAAGTGAACTTCACTGAGTCTGAACCACCTTTGCAGACCTTCCTATCTCATGGCAGAGCAGGTAACAATGATCTGGTGGAGAAGGGGAGGGGGAGGGGAAGGGTAAGGAGAAAGATGGGAAACAGAGATCAACTCACTGTCCGTGTCCAAGAAGATACTGCCCTTACATCTGACCAGCTCTGTGTTCCTTTTATATCCCACTATTTTGGGGATGTAGGTCTCATGCACGTTGTCCCACAAAGCTGTTAGGTTACAAGATGATTTTGTAATATTTATACAATGCTCAACAATCTTCATGTCTTCTCGTTTACTTTGAAAGGAAAAGACAGGAAAAAGGCAATCTTTAGCAATCATGTAAAGACAATTAGAATTACATATCTTATTCACTCTTATTTCCTTTAAGACTACTCAAATATCACTGTATCAAATCATCTTCCCTAACCCCTTTATGGAAAATAACATGTATGCACATGTGCGTGCAAGTGCATACACACACACACACACACACACACACTACTCCCAATCTCTCTTACCTTTCTTCCTTTTTCATCCCCACCAAGGCAGGGAGTTTTGTTCATGCTTGAACCCCTGGCATGTAGCAGGTGTCCATAAATATTTGCTAAGTGAATGAATTGAATGAACAAACCTTATGCTTTAATAGCAAAGACCTCAGCTCTCCCAGCCCCTGCAGGACAATCGTGAATGCATTCTCTAAGCCCTGCCTCCCTCCACACACACCTGAGGATCACACCACCCATCACAGATATCTGATCTGAGTATTAGAAATCCAGGTGGGTGATACATGTGACAGCAGAATGCAGAAAAAAATTTTTAAGACTTTAGCAGACATCAAAGGGAAAATTCCAAGAGGCTTTCTGCTGCGCCAGCCATCATCATTACAACTGCTAAAAGGCAAATAAACAACCAACAAAACAATGCTGGGAGGAGCAAGTGGATCAAAGCAATAGCTTACAAGAGTGATTGTTAGATGTGAAAGGAGAGAGCCAAAGAAAGCTCCACCCACTGTGTCATGAACCTTGCAGCAACTCCTAAGGAAGGAGCTCTGTGCCCAAGTGTCACAGGTGGTGATAGGCCAGACTTTGAACCCAGGCCTGTCCAAATCACAGTCAGGCAGCGTCCTGGTGTGCCCCTGTGCCTCCCCAAAGAAAGATCAACATCAACCATCAATATGATTCCCAAATCTTTGGACCCCTATCCTCAAAAAAATGTAGGACTTTTTAACATTTATACTTAGAAAAGCAGAGAAATGATTGTGAAACCATAAAAATAAATATTTTGTTTGTGAGGCTTTTGATCTGTAGAAATTGGCTTTAGTTATAAATACAAATTTTGCCAAAAACAACTTTGGATTGTTAAAAGCATTCAATTTATTTAAAAATGGGTAGGTGTTTTGTCTTTGACCTTCTAAGGGCTCTGAATTAAAAAAGAAAAAAAAAGAGAAAGAGAGAAAGAGTAAGTAAATTTAGCACTAGCACAAGTAAATGTCTCTGCATCCACTTCCCACACAACAGATCATATGTTTAGCAAGAGAAAAAAATGAAATGTGAAACCAACCTCCCGATTGTGTACCATAATGTATAGTGAGTTGGTACAATGGAATGGTTTTTCAATTCCCATGATAAAGTCAACTGGAAATTTTGTAGCGTCATCTTGAAAATGCAAGGCTCATCTAAATAAAGAGAACAGGGAGAAAAAAGAAACATTGGTATTTGAGGAAGTTGAGGGCTGTATTTTGGCCACTGTTCCAAGCTTGTCCCTTGGGATCTGGAGCCTACCCTTGCCCTCCAAGGAGCCCAAGGGTCTTGGAAACATAGGACGGAAATGGTCCAACTGGACGTGGGAAATGAACTAATACAATTAAATAATGAGAAACATATCAGGGAAGGCAAGCCTAGGAAACAGGAAACTAGTACTTTTTGCAAACAATTTGGACAGAGGGAACTCATCCAATTATCTTTGACTCAAAGTGGAGCACTGACCCAAAACAACTTAGGTCACACTCTGCTATGTGGAATCCCTTCTCCTCTCTTGTCTCATTTTCTCAACTCAACTCCCAACTCTTCCATGAAGTCCTCCTTGCAGTAGCAACTCAGCTACTGCAAACTTTCCCTCCTCTGAATTTCCAACTGCAGAAGGGACAAGGGCATACAATGTGTGCCCAGACCTGCACTTTCTAAGCATTTAATCTCTGTAACAATGGGAAACTGTTAGTACTATGAGTAGACCCATTTCACAGACTGAAACTGAACTATGCAACATTATGCAGCTGGGAAGCAGCAGAGGCAATGCCACACTTGTCAAATCCTGCCTTATATGGTGTTTTCTAAGATCAAGTAAGTTTCCTGTGGTTATAATCTGGGCCTTTGCTTCTTGTTTGCCAACCTGTCATTCCCCCAAAGCTTGCACAAGACCAAACACATACCTAGCTCTTAGTAAAACTTTAAGTAGAAGAATACAAATGAAAGAGAAATGCTTTCTAGATCATTTTTTGTTTGGCATAGTCTGCGTCTCCTCATTATACTATGAGTGAGAATACTGAGTTTAATAGTCTTTCAAGGGGTTTTTAAATTATTTTTAGTATTAATTCCTCACAATTATGTGAAGCATATGTGAAAACCATAGTGGGACAATTTGAGCTTCTTTTACAGAGAAAAAGGGTTCCAATGAAATAGGTAACAAATCTGGGACAGAAATCAAATTTTCCATCTTTTAGACTTCTGAATAGCCACACCAGTGCTTTGACCCTTTTACAAAATTTAACGAAACCAAGAAAATTTCTTACCAGACAAAGCGTGTGAAGTACCAAACACAAGGCTGATGTACACTGGGAAGAGGAAACACACGTTAGAAAAATGACAGTTTTCTCTGGACTCAGCCTGTTAATTATTGCACTAAGTCTAGGATTCTTCTACACAGATGTATTGATATTGGATTGAAATTTTCTTGCAATAAAATAATGCTCAAGGAAATGGTACTTAGTAGTAAACACTGTATCAGCAGCACACACCCAAGGACTGAACCCTGAGTAAATGCAAGTTAGGATCCATTTGGGAGCTGGCACTAATAATAGGGGGTAGGGTAGTTGAAGGCCTGTTCCAAGAAGCAGTTATCTATCCGGGAAAATTCTCAGAATATGAATAAACATGTTCATAATTTATTGAAAGTAAATACCACCACCTGTCTGTCAGTTTGTCATACTATGGTGGCTTGCATGTTGCCATGATGCTGGAAGCTATGCCACCAGTACCAGCAGGGTCACTCATGATGGACAGGTTTCAGTGGAGCTTTCAGACTAAGACAGACTAAGAAGAAAAGCCTGGTGACCTACTTCTGAAAATTAACCACTGAAAACCCTATGGATCACAACAGAACATTGTTTGATATAGTGCTGGAAGACAAGCCCCCGGGTTGGGAAAGGCACTCCAAATACACAATGGCTGCAACAATGGAATTGAGCGTATCAACCACAGTGAAGATAGTGCAGGACTAGGCAACGTTTCATGCTGTTAGATCTGGGGTGGTTATGAATTAAACTCCCTTGATGGCAACTAACAGTAACAATACAAAGGTAAAGAGATTTACCAAAGGCTATGGAGGGCAAAGAAAAGGGTGTTGGTATTGGGTGGTTCTCTACCCACTGGTATGGGGGGCATTTGTTGTCTGGTTGTCACAATGAGATGGAAGGAGAGTTACTGGCTTTTAGTAGGCAGAGACCTAGGATGCTATACATCATGGAGAACTGTCCCACCCAACATAACTATGAGTCCCCTACTGATAAACCATGGAATAGACAATGCATTTATACTGAAATACAATCGGAAGTCTGAGAAAAGTCATGCATGAATAGGACTGCTAAAAACAAAACAAACAATAAATGAAGCATCCAAACCAAAGTTCAGCACTAACTTTCCACTTTGGTGGATGGGTAGGAGATAAGAGGTTTGTCCTTCTCTCAAATATAGGTGTAGCGAGATATATCCCACTCCAGATTAGAATGAGGGTATTAAGATAAAGTCTTCTTCAAATTACACAGATATTCCCAATCATTCTTATTAATTTGTTTTCCTAAAATTAAAAATAGGGCAGAAACCCATGTTGAATGCAAACCATTGGCACCGGCTTCCCACTTACTTTCCACCTAACTCTTGACACTGGACAGGCTGATACTCTGTCCTTTAGCCAAGGACATCAGTTTGCTGCTCCCCAGCAACATCTCTGTGATGGAGACTGAGGACAAGCTTGCTTCTACAAAGAGCTAGGACAAAAAGTAGCACTTACTCCAGGGATACAAATTAAGAGGTCTGATCACAGAGGCATTCTGGCTTAAAAGCATCTTTGTTATTTTTTAACTTCTTGCTTCATTTACTGTCACATCTGAAATGAAACCAATCAAGAAAATTTAGATGATTAAAATTCTAAAATATCGAATTAAATTGTAAAGATGAAAAAGGACAAAGTCAAGATAATCAAAGACCAGCAGGAAATAGCAAAATTCTATGAGCAGTCTTTTCTCAACTTCGATGACCAATTGATCCATTACATGGTCACAGAGATGTTTTTAATTTAACTTTTTCCACAGTTAATACATTTACTTGACTCAAAAATTTTAAGCATACAGAAAGTATAAAGTGAAAATTCTCACTCCTTTTAGAAAACTACATTCATGTTTTTTTGTGAATCCTTCAGAACGTGTTTATGCCTAGCAAAAACAAGTATATATTCTTATCCTTCCTCCCCCAACATTTTATACAAAAGGTAGCATATACCACATCTTTACACAAATAACGTGCATGTTATATGATTTTTGCAAACCGTGCAACCCTCTTATGCATTAGTTTCCTATGCATGCTACATGTATTATATGCATGTGCATGTTATTTATGTGGGCGTGTTATATGCAAAAATATGGTAGTATTCCTTGTTCTACTTTTGTATTTACCACTTAAAAATATATTTGGGAGATCCTTCCGTATTAGTACCTATTGTGGATTGAATTGAGTTCCCCCACAAATGTGTTTTGAAATCCTAACCCTCATACATTATGAATAGCAGAGAAACACTGTCTGATATATTACCAGGCAACTTTATGAATATCCTGGGAATACTGTCCAATACAATGCAGGAATATGAGCCCCTTAGGTCAGAAGGCACTCCAAATATGACTGGGAAAGAGCTGCATCATCAGAATAGACTCAATCTTTTTCTTTTTTTTTTCATTGTGATTTGGGTGAAGATTTACAGAGTAAATTCACCTTCCATACAGCAGTTCACATATACTTTGTCTCATGTCATTGACCACAGTTTACCCCTACCACTTCCTCCCCATAGTTACCTCCTCCCAGTGTCCATCCCTCCATACACTCCTGCCCCCTGACCTGTCTCCCTGTGCATAAGCAGCCCTTCTTTCTCCCATGATTGTTCTGTCCAAGGAGTGTATCTACTTCAGGTAAATGTTCAATTCATATGCCTGTATTTTGTTTGGCTGGAGACCACAGGTGTGGGTTCAATTCCAGACCTGAAGGGCAGCTAG